TTCTGGACGTAATGAAGCCAAGTTGTCGAGCCAGAGAAAGATTCAGAGCATTCTATGAAGTGAGCGCCTAGCCCGTCTCCACTCTGACGCCGGAACCCTCCCACGACCCCCTCCCACATTCTCCCCCTGTAATTAGGACGCGCACGGCACGATGCCAGCGCAGCGCCCCTGTAAATAAGCAACCCGCTAAATCAAGCGGCGCGCTAGACGCATCGCATCATTTGCATACATCATTTATACTCTTTAACTCGCACAGCACCGTCTGCCCCTTCGTCTTCCCTCGTGCCCTCGGCTTGTCGCGCCCTTCAGCAATTTTCTGCTGCAGTTGGAGCACTTGCAGCAAAGTGGCGGGCTTCTATAAATCGTGGACAATTTGGCTTCACTGCGGACTGCACTGCGAGATTTTCTTCAAATATATTCCCATGTATTCCCCTTATTACGCAAAAAGGTTATTTTTATTCATGTATTCTGTTATAAAATGTGGGTTGTAATTTTTTCACATCGTGAAAATTAGTTTTATTCTCTTATCTACTACGTAACAGGAGGTATTTATGTAATTATTCAGATAGAATTACCGAATTTACAACTAGAAAACTTATTAGTTTGTCTCCAAGGCAAAAAATGTTAATTTGCTTTCTTCTACATTCACGGATATATAGCCAGGTTCCATGTTTTGTCTTTTCTTGATACCGGCGAAGTGTTCTTTGACACAAATCTGTTGTCCGTCTGTGAACAAAACTAGCGCCTAAGACGTACGCAGAATGATTACTTTCGATTACAAAAATTGATACTCCCCAATTCATCTGAATGATGTCGTGATCCTTCTAATTTTATTGGATACTTTCTTTTGAGTGGATGCTTTACATGAAGCTTCTAGAACATATTCAAAATTTTCTAAAAAAAAACACAGTATCCTAATAGAGTACGTTACCCCATATGTGTCTTTACCCAATACTTGAAAACGCCACATTTAGCGCCACCCCTTGTCTCCATTAACATCAAGCTGATGTGTCTTGTGAGCCCATGTAGGTCTAGTACCAAATACAAATAGCAATATAGTTCAGAAGCCCCTCAGAGCCTGGTCAGAGTTTAGCAGTTGGGAGCTACTTTATAACGAGACAATAATTTACCTAGATAGTGTTGTAAACTATGGTAAGACCCCAGTGCACTGATAATTCAAGGAATATTGGAAATGCGCACCATGCAACAACACTACTGAAAACATTAAACCTCTCAAGGTATTCGAATTCTCGTTGAGTCTAACTTATATATAGGTATACAGTTGCATTAAAAGCCTCTGCTCCACCTGACAGACAGAATCTGAATTTTTTTTAACTTAAGTAAGTAAACCTTTGAATAAATAACATTTCATTTTTCATGTCTCACTTTCCATTTTCTTCCTTCATTTATAACGGTGTTAGTTCCTTTTGTTTTGTAAGTTTCATGCACTTTTCGTCATCAATCGTATTCCTGCACTTTGCAAGTCCCCTATCCCCCCCTCCGGCTCAGTGCAATGCAGGCGTCTTCAACGGAGTGACGCCCTTCCTTCGTTCCCTCCCTCCGTGCCTCCTCCTCCGCATCCATATGCATGTCGCCCTTCTTCCCCGGCATCCTTCTTCTCTTCAGCCTGCACGCCTCCCACCCCCACCCCTCCCCGCACGATTCACTCGCGGCCAGGTGACGCCGCGTCGCGCCGGTCGCCCGAGCAAACATATCGACCCTCGAGCATTGAGGCAGCGGAAATGAGGGCATCGGTGCTGCCCCACCCCCTCTCCACCGACTCACCACCCCTCTAACACACGCCCCCCTCCCGCACGCCCAACCCGTGCTCGCGCCCGCGAGCGCAGGCCGCGCGCCGGGAAAGGCGGGCGCGCCCCGAATCGGGAGCGTACAGTGGTTCGCAGAGGAGTATGCGCGGCGATACCTTTCCGACTTTCCACGCTCCACAATACTCGTCAAGCATAATAGTCAAGAGGGGGCGGAGCCAGCACAGTTTAGCTCGAAACCAGCATTGCCGCAGATCGGTATATTGTGACGTAGTGAAAT